GTTTCCTCCTCACTGAAAAAAACTGTACAACACCAACAGATAAATTATCATATGGAGATGAAATTACCAACATCCAAACGCATTGATTTCGGCGGAAAGACAAGCCCCCAACCACCTGCAGTACACCGTAAATACCATGTGCGAAAACGAAGAGGAAAAGAGATAGATTCCTGCAACTTTGGCTCCTGTTAATGCTCTAGGGATGTATACTCAAATATCTAGTCACCCAATTCACAAAAATGACAAACAAGGCATTATATCTCTTAATTACAACTGGAGGTAGACTCAAATGCGGTTATTTTTACCGTTCATCGGGATAAATGTTAACTACACTCAGTGGCCGCTCTAAAAAGGTTATCAGTGTGAAGTTTGTTGATCAGGGAGAATCTGTAATAACTGATTCAGCGGACAGGACGGCTCGTTCGTGGCAAGGGTCAGATGATGGTAACATCTTGAGGGATCATTCGAATGAGGCTACGGCTATACATCTGCAGCTTTTCATCCGGATGGTTTTATTCTTGGAACAGAGGCAAGACGGCCTCTCAGTGCTACGATAACGGCAGCATGATCTGCAATAGCAAGAAGCAAGATCAACACACCGAGTTATAAATAATGCGTGAGATGAAGCCGTGACTTATGTGCAAAGGCACCAGCAATGTACCTGTGACGGTTTCTATAAAGCCGACATATTTTGCACCCGACGTACACAAGAAAGAATCCTCCAAGCTGCTCAAGTCTCGCTCCGAGTTTACAGGCCACGCAAGAAAAGAAACAAGAAAGTCATTTGAAGAAGCTTCAGAAAAAACAGAACAGAGGGAGAGAATTTTCGGCTTGCCGTTTGAAATACCTCCAACCGTGCCTTGAAAAACTCCATTTCTCATAAGCATGAGATTTCTTTACGATTACTTATCATGGCCAACAGCTTCATAATCCTGAAAAGAAATTGGATATGAGTTACATAGGCAACATCATTTTGAATACATACCAAGCCACCATACACTTGCAGATACCAATGCGCACTTTGCCTCGAAATATTACGCAGCCACCACATAAAACAGTGAGCAGCAGTTGGCCTCCAAAAGATACACAGCCAATTTACATACCGACTCGCTTAATTTGACGTACCAACCCGCAAAACTTGCATATAGTACCAACAAGTTGCAATAAGATGAGAATGAATGTCACACACATCCTTGGCTACCAAATCGCAAATCTGCAGCATAGCATCACAAACCATGAGTAACAAAAACACCTGCAAAACAAAACTTTCAGTTAGCAAATTGAAAACAAATTTCAGACTAAAACCGCAGACCCCCACACTTTGCAAAATCCATAACAGACAAAAGAAAAATGTTACACAAACCGCAACTTGTAGAAGGCAATTCAAAGCATTGAGATTGAGTCTAGACATACGACAATACCTTTGCCAAATCGCCAGCACAACTTGTCCTGCAATAGCAGAAAAAGCTCAATAGCAATTCATACCAGTTGCCTTTGCCTTCTGTACACCACACAACCCAGAAGAGATACCGTGGGTCGGGACTGATAAGGGCGCCATTATTGAGTTTACGAGATTGTCGCTCGCTGGAAGTCTTATGCCAAGTCCATTGTTCCAGCTTCCATTAAGGATGATCCCATGTGATGTTGACATGAGTGAATACAAGCCTCAAGTTAATATCGTGTTGTTTTAACCTTCTAGCTAAGTGAATTCGCATGCTTCATAACGATGCTCGGCATGCTGGCTTGGAATTTAATAATGTCTTTGCTCACTTGACCTTTGAACCTGTGAGCAAATATGACAGGAAATCAAAGTTTGTTTCTAACAGAGGTTTAAAATAAAACCAACACATGACCTTATTTCAAAATAACAGACAGTAAAAAATAAAATGACTAGCAGTAAAATCAGGGATTATGTGGTGTTTTGGTAAAATGTCTTTACCTCACTACAGACAAAAAAGATGGAGTGAATCGTACTACAAGGGCAAAACCTCACCTCACTCCTCCAGGGACTCTCTCCATATAAAAAAAGGTGAGAATGCTACAGTAAGGGGGAACCCTAGCCGCTCTCCTACATTCTACCCTATCCTTCAACATTCCTCACCCTCATTCAGCTAAAACCTCGAATGGACTCGACCCCAAAAAACCTCCAGAACCGTGCTACTGTTCTTCCCTATCTTCTTCTTCATAACTACAAATGAACCCAACAGCAACAACCTGGTATCTTCTTCTTCAACTTATCCCAAACCCATCTTCAACCACAACCTCAAAAATTGATCCAAACAATCCCCTACCACGAATCGCAAAACAGAAACAGAATACATAAATGAGAGGAGAACCGAGATGAGGTGAAGCAGAGAGTTCAAACAAAAAGATATCGAGAACAGAACCAAACCTGGAAAGACATAGTGAGAAACCGAGGTAAGCAAAATCGTGACGTGAGAAGTTGGAAGCTGAGAGCAGAGCGTGATTCGCAAAGAGGCTGGAATGAATTTGTTTTGTTGATCGTTGCTTTTCCTTCCCGGGCTTCGAACGCGCTTTGGGTTGTTCAATGTGCTTCCTTTTCTTTTCCATTTTTCTTTTTGTTTTTTGTGAAACCCTGCTAATCATGGTTGTGTGTTCCTTAAACCAATGTTGTTCACTTTCATTTGGGTTTCTCATGGGTCACAGTGAACTCTTGGGGCCCATTTTCCTGTTTTTTACTTACTATCACTTCCCCCTTTTTTTTCACTCTCACCCTGCCAATTGTGTGATGAATGGGCTTGAGGCCTATTATGATTCACACACTCCAAATCTGGCGGCACCCCCCTATGTGATTATTAACATGTTTTAAAATTTTTTTTAATTTTTTTTAGAATCTATTTAACATGCTTTAAGTTCTTTAATATCTTATTTTTTCCCTATCTTTTTTTTAAGAGATTTGTTAATGTGATTTTGTTTAGTTTCCTAAGTCTCTTCAATTAACTCCTTCTTTTTTTTTATTATTTATTTATTTATGATATTTCGATTATCACTTTCGGTCGATGACGATACCCCAAGTTATTTTTCTGTCAAATTATTGATGAAAAATAACAAACCCGAGACCATTTCTTTTCAAGACTTTCATTTTCGTTTTTATCCACTTTTTTCTTATTCCTTATTGATAGATGATAATTTAGTCGAGACTATTTCAATTTCGCTTCCAATCATTTTTTTAAAACATTTTCTCGATTAAACTCCAAAAGAAGGAGATCCTTGGAATCTAGCATTCCTTGGATCTTCGAGTGAATAATTCTCGAAGCACGCTCTTGAGTTGTTATTCACTCAATCTTTTGATTTTCTCAAACACATTCTCAACGTCTTTTTGATTAAAACCCCGAAAGAAAGAGGCACTTGGAATCTAGCATTCCTTGTGTCTTCGAGTGAATAATTCTCGAAGCATGCCTTTGAGTTGTTATCCACTCAACCTTTCGACTTTTTCAAACTCAACCATTTTCCAACATTCTCCTAAGTCGAACGCTCGTCCGCATTCGCAACCCACATTTCATTCACAACTCCTCGTGGTTTCGATATTAGGGGCACCCTCAGGGACTAATATCGTTTCTCACAACCCTAACCCTTGACACGTCGTCAAGTCGGTCCCATCTTCGATCAAATCTGCGACACATCGTCGAACTACTTCAAAACAACTTCTTTGTTGGCCTTGCATGCCATTCTACGATTCGATCCTTTCACAAACATTTTTTTTAAACTTACGAAAGAGGGATATTCTCAGAATCAAGCATTCTTTGAATATTCGAATGAGTAACTCTCGAGGCACGCCCTTAAGTTGTTATTAATTCATTCTTTCGATTTCAAAACATCTAACTCTTTGTCTTCAACCTACTCAACCCAATTTCCGAAAGAATTGAGTTCTTGGAATCGCGCATTCTTTGAATTCTTGAGTGACAAGCTCTCGAGGCACACTCTTGGGTTTCTTGTCAGTCACCCTTTCGTCTCTTTCTCAAACTTCCAATATATTCTTCCTCACCATTTCGTGGTTGTTACCATGAACTACGGACGCTCTGATTCTTTATTCATTCTTGAATATAAGATACGTAGGCACAAGATTGCGATGATCTTGGCGAGCACACTTCTACCTTCTATCCATCTCCCATTTCCCCCCATCTTTTCCCGTAGTCGAACTACGAAGCTCTGATTTCTCATTCTCGTCCGAATGAGCATACGTAGGCACAAGGGCCCCAATCCTTGGCGAGCACCCTATCCTCTAACCACCCATCTCTCTTTTACGTCTTTAACCTTTTAACCTACCAATTCTACCTTTAACAACGAGAAGAAAACAAGTAAACCTAAACAACACTCCCCACAATTACCTTAAGAGGTTCCCGTCGAGTACGACGGACGTGAGGGGTGCTAATACCTTCCCCTCACGTAACCGACTCCCGAACCCGGAACTTGGTTGCGACAACCCTGTTCCTATCCTTTCGTTTTAAGAGGTTTTCTCGATATTTTCCTCTCCCGTTTATTCGGGAAGAATAAAGTTCGGTGGAGACTCTGTCGAACCGCATTTCCGCGCCTTTCGCGCGAGGGTCGTATGTTCGAATGAATTTTCGAGGTGCGACAATATGACATTTGCATTTTACGACATTAGAATTTATAAAATAATAATGACTAAGCAGTTAAAATATTTGAAAATAAAATACATAACTTATTCAAGGTTCATTATTCATTATGGACTTCAAGCTCAATGTGTTGTTGTTGCTGATACTTGCAACTTCACTTATTGCTCAACATGAAGCTTCTGTTTCATATGATTATAAAGCTATCACCATTAATGGACCTAAAAAGCTACCACAAAAGCTTGGACAAAACAAAACTTGGTGAAAAAGTTATTCCTATCTTGAAAGGTCTTCTTCAGAGCTTAATTATGCTCCAATAAGCCCTTGAAATGTTCTCAACCAAACCCAAAATTAGAATCTATGACTAATATATAGTATAGTATAAAGCTTATTCTTCTCTATACATTATTCTAAAGAGTTTGATTTCCATGCCACAAGTGATTTGAGAAATTCCATAACCTGCACATACAACATTATGATGGAACTGATCTTATTAAAAAACTTATAAAAATAAGTTATAACTTATATAAAAATACTTGTGAGATTATTTGAGAGAGCTTATAGATAGAGCTTATGAAATGTTCGGAAGATGTTTGCAACTTATTTTCATAAGTTCTCTCAGATAGATTATGAAAACAAGAATTACCTCATAAGGATCACAAAGAGAGTAATCCGCGTTGCTTTCTTTAGGCGCAGAAGAAACTAAGATTCTGAAACCTTTATTAACCTCACTCAAAACCTGTTACCATTCATTTTATATATCAGTATAATAATAAGAAAATACATAAACTGAGTAAAAAAATAAAAATGAAGAACATGCATTTTTAGTATAGCATCATAAAAAACATTTAACCTTAAATGCATCTTCATCTGCCTGATCATCGCCGATATATATAGCTAGAACATTGTCATCATTGTTAAGTCCTAAATAAAAACACATCTAATGTCATTTACTGAAAAAAACAAATTTTGATAGTTGAATACACAGTAACCGTTAAATTGAATAATCAACAAATGAACTCACCAAGTGATTCTAGCAAAAATGTAACAGCTTTTCCCTTATCCCAATCAATCACCGGTCGAACCTCTAACACCTGCATATCATCAGTAAACATATGTTACTGAGTTTTATAACAGATATGTTTCTTAACAAGAACATGAAAAATGAGTAAAAAAAGTTTAGGTATAGAACTGAAATAGTACCTTCCGATTTTGCCCAAAATTGTCATACCCCAAATTTGTCCTACTTTGGTATTTAATGAATAGTTTACTGCTTCACGACATCTGGCCATGTTTCTCTAAGGTTTCAAAGACCATGTGTGTACACATTATGGTTATGATCCCTAGCATTTTTTTTTGTTGAATTTTTGCGGGAAGAGCGCGCCTCCAGCCCTTATACCCAAACTCATTTGTGTCCTGGTTCTCATGGTCAAACAACTATGATATGATCATTGGCATAAGCTATACATTTGGATCCATATCAGGGCATAATAATTGGTTTCTTCAGCTTTGTTTACAAACTTCTCTTTAAAAATATTGAGTTGTACTTCAAGATTTTTTACGCCTTTCACCTAATCCAAGATTGTTCAAAATAATCCAAGTAGTTTAAAGATAATTCTAAGGTTTATCTTAAGAAGCTTTAGATCACATTCAAGATATGTTTTAAGTCGATACTAAAGGTTTCAAAACAAAAAAACTCATAACATAACCAATTGATGATCCAAGTATATGTTTAATCTAGGTCTTGTCGAAAGGGTATGTTTGGGATCAGATTTTGTTGTCAAGTTTTTGTCTAAAGTGGCATGTGATAAGTCTATTTTGACTAATGCCTTACGTACCATGAATAAAGTCATCCTAAGAACATTCCATTAGATTCACAAGTGGTGATAGCTTTGGTAAGATAATTCAAGTCATAAAAATTTAAGAGCCAATTGGATGGAAATAGGTTTAATCGAGCTATTATACATAACCAATTTAAGGAAATAAAGGTTGTTCATTATAATTAATTTCATGCGACAAGATTACTGAAAGTTACAAAGTTCACTAAGATCAAAGGGGCTCCAATGTCAAGTCGCCATAAACTTGTTTCTAAAATACAGCACTAAATTTAATTTTGAAGAGGAATCAAGTTGAGATGCTTGGTTCAGTTGGTGGTAGTGAAGCATTTAGGTGGGTAGCTGGTTACATTTAACATACAGAGACATCTCAAATGGGTTGCTAAAACATATATGCTTGAAGGCAGCGGGAAGAATTTAAAAAAAAAAGGGATCAATAATACATATAAAAGGCTTGTTGGTGCTCTAGAAGCAATACTTGTACATTGGGAGTGGATGAGTAGACAATATTTGGTATTTACAAGTTCAAAAGCCACTCAAAACTTTCCTCCTGTTCTTTTAGGCTCTTCATCCAAACCACTGTCAGAGTAGGAATATTATTCTGCTTATTACTACCAGTTAGCAGCTCACTATTTGAGTGAGAAGAGGTCAGCACTGGAGTTTGCAATCTCAATGTCAGAAATTCCCAATGAGGTTGACATTGGAGCTGATTCAGTTGTTCCTTCTGCATATGTGGGTCAGCTTGCTCGGTTGCTTGAGGAAGGGGATAATGTTGATATGCTACCTCTCACCGACGAGGGGTACACCCATTATGCTATCTCTGAAGGAAAAAGGTTCTGAGATTCACTTGAGATAATTGCTCTTTTAAAAAAAAAGCTTATGAATTTTACAGTGGTATTAAACTTCAGAGGATGAGTTCCTTTTATGGGTTCCAAATGGCCAAAGAATATTTTGCAGAAGGTGAAATTGGCAAAGCAAAGCAGATGTTTGATAATATTGCCAGCCTATACAGAAAAGAGGGATGGGTAACTTTGTTGTGGGATGTCTTGGGTTACTTGCGAGAGTGCTCCCGGAAAAATGGTACAGCTAAAGATTTTATGGAGTATTCCCTTGAAATGGCCGCACTCCCAATATCATCTGATACTGGTGTCCAGAGAGACACTGGTCCAGCTGGTCTTGCAAATATACTGCAAAGAGAAATTGTACACAAGGAAGTTTTTGAACTTGTTGGTGAGTCAATGTTGACAAAAGAAAAAATAATAAAAAAAATAAAGATTCTAGTAATCTGAAGATTTCTGCAGAAGAGTTAGTTCAGCTTGAGGTTGATCTTGTGAGTCCACTTAGGTTGGTGATGTTTGCATCTGTTGCTTTCCATGAATAGACAATCAAGCCTGGAACATCAACTTCTATAACAATTTCACTTCTTTCCCACTTACCCCTCACTGTTGAGGTCGACCGATTAGAAATTCAGTTCAACAAATCTTCTTGTAATTTCTTCGTAACAAATGCCCAAAAACATCACTATGTAGAAGGTAGTGATACTCAAAAGCAGAGAACAGAGACATCACCGTCTATTTCGCTTGTATCTAATAAATGGCTAAGGTTGACCTTTGACATCCAACCTGATCAAAGTGGAAAACTTGAATGTTTGTCTGTTGTTGCAAAAATTGGATCACACTTAGCAATTTGCTGCAGAAGCTGAAAGTCTTGCTTCATTGGATAGCTTACCTCTCTGGACATTGGAGGATTATCCACAAGTTGTTCCAATAAAAGATGCAGTTCTTGTGTTCTCTGGCCAGAAGAATACCCAAGTGGAAGAACCAGATCCACAGGTAGATCTGTGTTTTGGTGCTTCAGGTCCTGCGCTAATTGGGGAGGTGTTCCTGGTACCTGTAATATTGGTCTCCAAAGGCCATGATGTCTACTTTGGTGAATTGAAGATCGATCTTATGGATATGAAAGGTTGGATTGTTTAGTCCAAGAGACTCCGAGCCATATTCAATAGAAAGCCATCATGTTCAGCTACTTGGTATATCTGGACCAGAAGGAGAAGATGATTCTCAATTAGATCCAGATAATATAAAGAAAATACAGCAATCATTTGGATTAATTTCTATTCCCTTTATTAAAAATGGGGACTCCTGGTCCTACAAATTAGAAATCAAATGGCACCGACGAACCCATCATGCTTATGTCTCTTTGGGCTATAAACCAAATGACTATGAACTAAATAATACACCAAAAGGACAAACTACCAAGTTAGGGCCATTACAAGAACTCAACAGCCATTATACCACCTGAAAGTTCCCTTCAATTTTCATGTTACATTTTTCAATTCGGTATAAGCAGTGCCTGAAAGTATCGTTCCAAAACTCGTTTAAATGGACAACACCTGCAGCAAATGATAAACACAAGAAGTTATTCTACCATACTTGAACTTTCTGCTAAGGCCGTGACAAATTAAAATCCGAGCCAAGTTTTAAATAACAGAATGGTTTCATAAGATCCATGCACCAAATTCCCAAGCCACACATGAGAAACTAAGGGGAGTCAAGAACTAACGGTAAAGGAGAGGAAGAGAAGAATATGGAGATAGAGGTAAGCTTCCAAGAAATGACTTATATCAAGTATTGAAACATACCAATATGTTTTCAAAATCAAAGGTCAAGCGTTGTCCAATTCTGCTGGCGCGTTCTATGGACTCAGTTCCATCATTCCACACCAAGTTGAAGCATGTACATGAAGATTGGCATAAAACACAGAGAGATTAGAATGGATGATTAGTAGGGTTCACAGTATAAAAAATCTGCCACAAGAGAAGTTCAGAAGAAAATAAGCACACAATCTAATCCTACAAGTTACTATCAAGCTTAGGCTATGAGCTAAATGATTAAGTTTCCTATTACTGCTATTCCTTTGAACTAAACATAAATTGCCGCAAGTCGCATGAAGTTGTTCTAGCCTAAATTCACGGAAACCGTAATGCCGCAGCATGTACATGAAGTAAAGACGACACTCACAATTGAAATCTAAGATGTTGCTTCATCGCAAATGAGGTTCAAGTGCAGCAGAGGAACAGCAGGGTACGCCACAGGATGTGTTGCAGAATCGCATATCATTTTCAGCATCCATATGAATCATCACATAATTCTTGGAATGTCATCATCATATCAAGGTTCTGCATAATGAAAAAAAAAACGAAAGTCAGAATGCTTTTCAATGCCACATCATTAAGTCTAAGCAGTAAAAAAGCATTTTTAGGCAGTAAAAAACCAGGGTAAAACTGGATATTTCCCCCTTACTACAGACAAAATAAAGGTCACTATCAAGCCTCAGAAAAAGCAGAAATCATAGTGTAGCACTATAACAGAATTGTACAACCCAAAACGCACCTCACCTCACACACCTCACACGATACCAATTGTTTTCCTTCAGAAAATTTCAAATTCCTCATGTACTCGAAACCCTAAAACTCCCTATATAAATGCTCACTATTCACTTAGAAAGAATATACGAAAAAACCCTAAAAAACCTACAGCAGAAAGAAGATAGGCGGAAAAAACCCTAGTGTTACCTTGCCAAAATCAATCCCTAAACCCTTACTAAAGCTCGAAATCCTGAAAAGCTTCTTAGAGTTTCACACTAAAACTCTAAGATAGTGGGCTTGGCTACCTAATACGCTCTTAGAACACAACGTCTTCGGTGAAGAGGGCCAAAGAATGGCGAAGTAAAACAACGCACACGCAGACAAAAAGAAATTCAAAAACAATACCTTTAGGTTAGTGTGAAATAAAACTTTATTGAGAAACTCTCTTGATGAATGCTCTTCACACCTCATTTCTTGTGATGATTGATGGTTTGTTACTGATAATATGAACCTTTAATGTCTGAAATGTCTTGAATAATGTTTGTTGATCTTGATATAACCGGGTGCATATGCTTAAAAACCTTAATTCACTTCTAGGTTGTGTTTCTCGGCTCTGGGGTTTAGAAATCAGGGTTAGGGATTCGCAATTTGGTTTAGGTATGGGTTTGCAGAAACGAGGGACAAAGGGTTTGGTTTGTTGCAGAAGAAAGATTGGGTTTTGAAGAGGGATTGAGTTTTTGTTTTTTTAGAAGAAGTTTAGGGATTTAGAATGAAAGCCATCCACTTTCGTTTTCAGAATCAGCAGTAGAATAGATTCATGATAAGAGAGAGTTTTATTAATTTAATACTTCAACTCATAGCTTTAATGGGATATTAATGATTTGGCTCACTATCCCATGTTGACAGCACACGG